TTTAGTATAAATGATAAACACAGGAAAAATCAAATAGAGATAAGTCATCATCTCCCCTGTCTTATCCTACTCCCGTAGGGTCGGCGCACCGGGTTTTTGCCCTCCAAACAACTCTATCATATGTCATCTCAGTCATCACTCCCTTCTTGATCATGTTACGCTTGACGCATTCCATCCATTATTTTCTAGGGCTTCCTCTACCGGTGTACCTCTCCACCTTTATAACTAATGCTTCTTGTTACATGCGATTCATCCCTCCTGATAATATGCCCATGCTAACCTTTTACTCCTTACCTTCTCTACTACGGGGGCTACTCTCAAACTTCCTCTAATATACTCAATTCCTATCTTATCCATTCATGTTACCCCACACATCTATCTTAACATTCGCATTTCCGCCACATGTATTCTCCTTTCATTAGTTAAGTAAACAGAAGAAAAAAATGTTTTTTTTTTTTAAGAAATTGCATACCTGTTTATTTTATTACATGCATCTGTAACAAAATTCATATATATATAGAACTTTTGTTTCATAATATATCTAAATTATCAAGTTTATTTCACGTCATATGTCTAATCATGCACAAAGTATTGCCTAGAGGGTTCCAAAATACACCAAAAAGGCTGTCAAGGTACATTCAAAAGACGTCTACAGTTACCGCGCAGCCTTGCGGCGTCTTGCCTTGTAGACATTAAACGTCAGCTTTGAACCAATGAAGCGTTCAAAGAGCTTGCTTTAGACGTTTTGTGTGACTTTCATGATATACAAAGGGGTCATGCTTGGACATGTTACTTTGTAATGTCTAAATACGGGCATTAAACTATATCACAATTGTTTAGTCTCGTTTTGTTTCCTATGAGATTATATGGATGTGCACACTCGATTTTTAGTTGTGCAACTAAACAGTTGACTATGAAACAATCGACAATCGCACAACAGTTGGGCGACAGATTAGTCAAAGTGTGCGCCCGCTCTTAAACATACCTCTTTGTTTAGATTTAATATAAATGTATCAAAACACTTATTGTATCTTGATAAATATATCGCCTTTAAAACAGACTTAAATTTTGTTAAAAAAATATGAATTTAGAATTTTAGCATCATAATGAGAAGTTAAGACGTTTATAAATATTGACAGATTTTTTGTTCGTAGCATTTACGATCATTTTTAGCTTTAAAATTAATTTATTAATTAGCAAAATTACAAAATGACGGTAGAACCGATCCGATATGTCAATACCGCGTACGATTGAGGACGTGCAGGGAGCAGGGACATGCAATTAAAACGTTCGTTGAAGCAGGAGCTCATAGCTGTCGGCTGTCGCTGTCGTCTGTCAAACGACATGGAAACTACGCGACATAAGTGGAATTAAGCTCTCGTAGGGTCACCATAAAATGTACTCCTTCATTGTGGATACAGCTCAGAAATCGTGGCGTCAATGCTTTCGTTCAAACATAATGGGCTATAAGAATAAAATCTTTTGACGTCTGCCTTTTGGTTATCTTACAATCAGATGGTATCGTGCTCAAGTTCTAATTCATGCGATAAAAAAGTTCGGATTTTTAACATTTTATAGAAATGTATTATATTAGTTTTATGTACAAAATAAGAAAAGTAATTAGAAGATACTAGAATAAATAAATCCGTTGCCTCTCAGGCTTGTAAAGGACTTTACGAGTAGAATAGTATTACTATAGAAGAATATCCTTCATATCATGTTGTAATGGTCACCCTAACACGTCGCGGACACACGACAAAAGTGGACGACACTCATACCTCGTAAACTCGCCTCACTTCCGAACACTCGACTTGTCACTGCTTCCCAGTATCTGTGATTTAAAAATCTGATTTTTGACAAAAAAATAATTTAATAACCAATATGTATTTAGTAATTAAATAAATTAGTATTGTTGGACACGTAAATTTTTTTCAACTTAAACTATATCCTTATCACGGTTATTTAATTATTTTATTTAAAAATATAACCAATTATTTTGAACAGAGCTATTAAACAAAAGATGTTTGATATTCTTTGATAAAATCTAAGTAGTTATAATTGATATTTGAAAAAAAAAACACTTTAAACATAACCCTAAAATCTTACTAATATAAATGCAAACATTTAGATGGATGTTTGTTAGAGTTTGCAGTCTAAACGGTCGAACAGATCTCGATTAAATTTGTCATAGATGTAGAGGATAGTCTGGAAGAACACATAGGCTACTCACTTTTTTTTTAATTCCACGCGAATGGAGTCGCGGGCGAAAGCAAATTAGGTAATTCTTAAAGCCTCATATAATTTATTTTAATTCAAGAAGCCAGCCAGATGAAGCTCTGAAGGCCACGGTCACACGCAACTCTTGTTTGTTCAGATGTAAACGTTTAAAACTGGTAAAAAGTGACTGTAAGAGATACCAAGAAATCTTTTGTTACTTATTTTCATATTACTCGGTAAGAGATTGCGCATACTTGAAAGTAAACGATCGCACAACTAAATTATTTAAACTTTCGTGAGACATTTTATAATTATTTATTTAACGGCTTACTCACATCATACTTTTTGCCGGTGACGACACCGACCAGTTTCAGATCCTGCGGGGGTCCTTCAGTGCGAGGCGCAACGCGACCGCGATACAATATCTTTAACCTTCGCCCTGAAGAAGGACCCCCGCAGGGTCTAAAACTGGTCGGTGTCGTCACCGGAAAAAAGTATGACGTAAGGCGTTAAAAAATTAATGATGGCACAACTGTTTATATTCGCTTTGATTCCATTGAGCTTACATGGAGTTACTACTCGACTGACAGTTGAATTGGCTGCAAACAATCGACAATCGCACTACAGTTGCGCGAGAGTTTAGTCAAAGGTGTGTATCCGCCCTAAAAGACACCGCGAAATATTTTGTTATTTTGTTTATGGTTAATTTATTTTCATATTACTCAGTAAAGATGTACGAAACGTAAACATCGGTAAAATGTGTTTATTACAGAAAGTACAGTCGCCTTCGTTCGCGGTGTCCCAGTTACAGATTTTGGCAACGAACTTTTTTTTATCAAAAATAATTTTGTACTGTTTTTATTTTGAGAACGTAACAAAAAGTAGAACCTCGATAACATATAAACCTCTACAACTTCAAAAAATAATATGTTCTCTTCCCATCAGAGCCCAAAACCTTTGCAACATAGACCCTTGATAAATTTAAAACTATATAACTTAAAATATTTTGTGTTTCCCTTTTACTTTAACTTATCGAGGTACTACTGTAGCTCTGGCATATCTGTACTGTGGCTATTACTTTTGTATGTTATGGAATAAGCCTTTATCACAACGTATATCGTAGTTTGAAGGTAGAAAGGTAGTGAAAATATTTTTTAAATAAACGCAATTTATTTGGATTTCTATGTTAACTTAAGAAAACAACAACGAATTTTAATTAGCTTTTATTAATGAATTCGACGCGAAACATCGGAATGAATAATTTAATAAAAATAACTTGGTTAGATATATTAAAGAAATATACACGCAGACGCAATTTACATCTATTAAAATTTACAATTAATAATTAATATTGCACAAAAACGGAACTAATCCTTATATTTAAAGTCTGTAATTAAATATTATATACGTAATTGTTTTTGTTGATTATTTACATATGTGAATATTTCTACATTGTAAAGGTGCATTTTTACACAGCTTTGTTATTCGTGCGATGAAATCTATCAGTGAAATTGTCTTAAAAGTATACATACTTAATTCTTAAGTTATATTAATAAAGGAATTATGTATTACAAATGCACAAATATATATATTATTTAGTTATAGTATTTATATAGTTTCCTGATGAATTAAAGCAAGAAAATTACTAAGTATTTGTATTTTATAGATTTAATAAACTTGAAGTAAATTGTATATTTATCCACTTCCACTGTTATTAGACAATCATTAATTCACCCATAACACTATGGTTATGATATTTTCCTTAACCGTGGCTTTGTTAATAACAGCTATATTTACATACATTTTAAAAATATGACAGAGTCTATGGCACGAACGTAACATTTATTTGCTAAAATATCTATTTACATACAAATGTACTACAAATACGTTAAATGCTTGATTCTAAAATGCACAAAATTGACTTATAATTAATATTTATCTATTGAAATAAATTAACAAAATTTTATTTCCCGCCATTTTGAATTTTGACATTAGATAAGGGACACTAATTTTGACAGATAACCTTTATTAAACACTAGTTTTAACTTTTTACATTTTTAATTTTAATTCCAATAAATCTGTAATAGTCAGAATTCATCTTCTAACTTTCCGCGGGTACCTGGCGGTATTCGCCAGTATCTCCTTGTTGCGTCATTTCTTCCCACCAATGCCTCCTATAAGTCCCTGAGCGGAGGAGAGGTTGGCCAGCGTCATCCTGTCAGAGTTGGCAGCCAGGTTTCTATCCTGGTTGGTTAGTAACCGCTCAGCCGAGTTCAGTGTGGTCAGTGACAGTCTGGTTTCTGAACCGGTTGTGACCGGGTTCTGTGTTGCGGATATCGGTGTGGTCGCTCGGGGTAATGTTTTGGCGAGTGTGATGGTGGTAGGCGGTGAGGTGCGGTGGAGGGCAGTCGGCTTTTGGTCACGGCCGCTGCAGACCTATGGAATTATAGAATTTATATGTTGTGTTCTTTAATTGTCATCAGCAGCTCACTATAGGTTTCCCAATGAGGGATTCGCTCACCCTAAGTTAGTGACTAGGCCTTAGTCAACCTGCACTGCGGGTTCACTTCACACATATCATTGAATTGCTTCGCTGATATAAGCAGGTATCATGTTTCTTTCATCGAAAGAACGTGGGGTGTAAATGTACATATTTAATTCTAAAAATCGAAAATGACTGGTGCAGCGAGATTCTAACCCAGGACTTGTGGAGTATAAATCAAGTGCTAGAAGTCCTAATCCACTGACGCTCTACTTTCATACTTTAATAAACAAACTCTAGAGTACAATCAAGGTGTCTGTTAGTGAGGTAGTTTGTGTTACCTGATGGTGGTTCTCCCAGTCCTTGTGCTGGCAGAAGGCGCCGCAGTAGCGCGCCGCGCCGCAGCCCGAGCACGTCTCCTGCGCCTTGCGCCCGCAGTTCCAGCAGCACTACATTGCATTACTAATTACTAAAAAGCTCTGTGTATTGAGTATAGACAACTTAGAATATTGCTTCTTTCGTCACCTCCTTTACAAGTTTTCCTCGATTGAACAGTGGGCAACTGAGGGAGTGCATTTGTTAGACACTGAGTGTGTGGAGTTCTGTAATGTTTAGTTCGCATTTTTAAAACCGAATCTCCTCGTGTCTAGTTTAGACTGTCGTGGATTTTTTACTATA